TCGACGCGCGGCTGGTTCGACGTGACCAGCAAGGCTGCCCTTGAGGACCTCTACACCGAGGCGGCCGAGGCGCTGAACACGCAGCCGTTCCTGAACGACATCATCGGCAACAGCTTCGCCAGGGGGTGCGCCGATAACAACGCAGATTTCTTCGACATGTTCGGCCTTGGCAGCGGGGGAGGAGGCAGGCGCGCGCTGCAAGCGACGGCCGGCTCGCCCGCGCAGGCGGCGGCTGGGCGAGAGAGTGAGGCGGCGGGCACAGGGGTAGCGTCCCTCGACGAGGTGCTCAGCCCCCTGCGCGCGCGCGCGAGACTCGGGGCGCCCGGCAAGCAGAGAGAGATCGCGACGCGCCGGCGCTTCGCCGAGGAGCCGGTGCCAAGGCCAGAAATCTCCACGGGCTGCACCGACTCGCTGGCGAGCAACTTTGACTCGGAGGCGGTCGCTTTCTCGGGGCGCTGCTGGTACGATGTCATCGGCTGCATGAACTCGACCGCGCTCAACTACAATCCGATTGCCAACGTTGAGGGGAGCTGCGTGCCGCGAGTGTCTGGCTGTATGGCGAGCTCGGCGGTCAACTTCGACGACACGGCCACAACAATGGAGGGCGCGGCTTGCACCTGGGCCATCCGCGGCTGCACCGACCCCGCCGCGCTCACCTTCGACCCGCTCGCTACCGAGCCCGACCCCGCCTTGTGCACGGCACCGGTGGTCGGCTGCGCCGACCCGCTCGCGACCAGCTACAGCGCGGCGGTGAACCTCCACAACAGCACCGCTTGCATCTACCCTGTGCGGGGTTGCACTGACTCGGCCTCGCAAAACTACGACCCGGCTGCCGAGGAGAACGACGGCTCGTGCGTGCGGCCTGGCTGTGCGTTCCCCTCGGCCGCGAATTTCGCGCCCGGCACGACCGTCTCTGAGCCGGATGAATGCGTTTGGTTGCCACACGGGTGCAGTGAAGAGCCTCGCGCTGCCAACTACGACCCCGACGCGCAGGGTGGCGGTGTGTGCTTTGTGCCGGGCTGCCGCGACCCCTCGGCACCAGATTTCGACTCGAGCGCCACTTTTGATGCCGGGTGCAAGCAGGTGGCCCGCGGCTGCACGGATGCTGCCGCATCCAACTACGCCCCGCGGGCGGAGAAGGACGACGGCAGTTGCCGCTACGGCGGCTGCAAAACGCCGACGGACCTTGCCTACAGCGCTGGCGCTCACTTCCACGACGAGAGCGCGTGCCGCGGGAGGGGGAACTGCACCGACTCGGGGGCCGCGAACTTTGGCGCGGCCGGGCAGGCGTGCCGGTTCGGCGGCTGCACCAACATGTCCGATCCAGCCTACAGCCCGGACGCGACCTTCGACGACGGCACGTGCGGCCTCTCACTGCGCGGCTGCACAAGCTCTTCCTCCGCGAACTTCGACGCGGCCGCCGCTGTGAGCGGCGGGGGTGCCTGTGTCCCAGTCTTCTGCGGCGAGCGGCACAGGCGCGTCGAGGCGGCGGGCCAGGGCGTCGCGTGCGTGCCGCACGTCTTTGGGTGCACCGACGAGCGAGCGGCCAATTTTGCCGCCTGGGCGACGGCCGACGACCGCTCGTGCGCCATCTTTGGCTGCACCGACACGCGCTCGCCTAGCTTTGACTCGGCGGCGACGGTCAGCGACGGCTTTTGCGGCGGCGGCAGCGGCCACGCTGCCGGCGAGGTCGTGATCGGGTGCATGGCGCCGAGCGCGGTCAACTACAACTCAAACGCGACGCAGGGCGGCGCGCAGGATTGCGAATGGCCAAGGGGCGGTTGCACCGACTCCGCGTCGCCGACCTACCGCTCGTGGGCGACCGTCAACGACGGCTCATGCTACGTGCCCGGATGCACGCGGTCCAACGACCCGCGCTACAGC